AAAAAAAAAAAAAAAAAAAAAAAAAAGCCTAGAATTAAGACTTGGTGCTCATGGACCAGGTACAGCTTGATTGACTTGGTTCCCTTTTCACACCACTGCTTATTGCCCCTATATGATACTAGTTAGCCAACTTTCTGGTTTTTAAAGCAAGAGGAGAATTCTGGAGTGTTCTTACTCTGTATTGCCAGATACGGATATAATCCTAGTGATTTTTAATATTAAAAAATTGAGAAAAAGGTTGTTAACTCAGAAACTTGAGATGGATGAAATTCTTTTAAATACAGATATTATTAAATAGGGCTTTATCATAATTATTTGTAGAATTAGTACCAACCAGCAGGAAAAAAATTATAAATAAGCAATCACTATTTTAAAATCTTATCATAATTCGATTATAATGTAGTAATGTAGAATTAACCCATTGTTAACATGGTGCCCTTATCATTCCTGATTAAGTGATGTTTGTTTTTACCTTAATACTGACATCTTAGTATAGAATCAAAACATTTTTGTACGTAGTCATTGGTTTAATTCTAATTTCTACCAGTAAGAAAGACAACAGGAAAACAGGTCCAGAAAGGTTGTGTACTCAAGTACACATGGCATGTGTGAAATAAAATAAGACTTCTTGCTCTCCTAAATCCACTGCTTTTCCTCTGTACCAGCATTTTCCAAAATGTCAGCAGGCTTTAAGTTTGGAAGTGTATTCTCCTTCTTAGAGAGTGCGTAATAATATCCCTGAGAAATTCTGATAGTCAGAAGTATGCTTGACTTTGGATTAAACATTTAGCATTTCCTTTCCTTTCCTTTTTTTTTTTTTTTAGACAGAGTCTCACTACATCGCCCTCAGTAGAGTGCTGTGGCATCACAGCTCACAGCAACCTCAAACTCTTGAGCTCAAGCGATCGATCCTCTTGCCTCAGCCTCCCAAGTAGCTGAGACTTTAAGTGCCCCCCCACCACAATGCCTGGGCTAGTTTTTCCATTTTTAATAGAGACAAGGTCTCACTCTTGCTCAGGCTGGTCTCAAACTCCTGAACTCAAGGGATCCAGCCTCTCAGAGTGCTAGGACTTACAGGCCTAAGGCACCACACAGGGTCTCATTTAGCTCTTCTTAAATCATGACCACCAAATCCCTTTTTCTCCCTGAACTATTGTTAAACAGAACCAGTATTTCTAGCAGCACACTGAGAAATGTAACACTCCACAAACATCATGGTCTCTGCAAGACCGAGTAAAACTGTGATTAACCCTCCGTTCATTGTTCTTACTAGTACCAAGTTTTGAAGAGCAGTATTCCAAAAAATTGATTTTGGAATATATCAATTTTTCAATCCAGAATCCCTGAGCTATTTTCAGTATTTTCTAAGTGCGTCAGGAGAAGCAGATACTCCCTAATAAGGCATAGCAATAAACTGTATTAAAAATCACCTTTCTTTTTAAATTGGAATCATATCAACTCATATGTTAAGGCATTAAAAATGCATTGCATGCTGATTTTAAAGTTCTTTTCTTTAATTTTTTATTAAATTATAAACATAAATCATGTATACATTAATGCATTTATGGGGTACAATATTCTGATTTCATATAGAATTAGGAGCATTTATATCACACTGGTTGAGTATAAGTGTCTTAATATAATAATAAAGTAAATGGGATGAGGTATATGTGATTTTAAAGTTCTAATTAGCTGGTGACATCAGAGTCTAAGATGGACTAACTGGAGGAATAAACACTGTTGGTACAATCTCAATACTAGAGCTAAACTCAAGAGCAAAATGACAGCCAAAGGTAACTAACCAATCATCGTACTGTGTCATTTGGTCTTCAAAATGGCTTTGTGAACTAGGGAGGAAACACCGCCAGCTCTGTTTTATAGATGCGAAACCAAGTGATTCACGTGAGGTTAAGTCCTCCAGGTCTCTGTTATCCCAGATTCTCTCTTGGCCCTCGTTTCATAATCCTTTGAAAATGCTTCTAATTTAGAATGTATTAAGAATATATAGACAGTGTAAGTCATGCCACGTGCTATTAAGTGCCTACTGTGTTTTCCTGAAAATAAGACCTACCCAAAAAATAAGCCCTAGCGGGATTTCTATGCATTTGTTAAATATAAGCCCTACCCCGATAATAAGACCTAGTGATGGGCTATGCAGACACTCTGCATAGCCATGCCATGCATTTTGGTGCAGGGAGGTAAGGAAGAGTGGAATACCTTTTATCTGCCACAGCTCCTTTCTCTGAGCCATTCGCACTTACACAGGTGCATGTGCGGTAGCCGTGGTCGCAGGCATCCTATTGTGCATGTGCGAACGGCTAGGGGAAAGGAGTTCACACATCACTAGCACCAGCCCCACCAAGGTTGGCTCCCCATCAGGTTCCAGAAGAAGATGACTTAACTGTATTTGAATAAATGTAGATTGCTGTATTATACTTAATAAAAATAAGACATCCCCTGAAAATAAGCCCTAGTGTGTCTTCTTGAGAAAAAATAAATATAAGACAGTGTCTTATTTTCAGGAAAACACAGGTATCTCTTGCCTATATAAAAAGAAAGAAACTTTATAGCAAGAAAACTTTAATGAACTCCATCTTAACCTTTTAGTTCCTAAGGAAGGTTTGAAGAGCCAAGAGCTTTTTGATGAAATTAGAATGACCTACATCAAAGAGCTAGGAAAAGCCATTGTCAAGCGGGAAGGAAACTCCAGTCAGAACTGGCAGCGGTTTTATCAACTAACAAAACTCTTAGACTCCATGCATGAAGTAAGTGTCAAACATGAAGAATTTTCTGGGGCATGAATTATGTTTGGGTCCATGTAGGTGATTATATACCACTAGTTTTTTTCCTCCCCAGTTGGTGGATTTGGGTGATAGTTAGATTTCCCTAAGGTCAATCATGAAATGTCCCTTCATCGAGTGATGTGCGTGTAGAAAAACCATGTCATTACAGAATATCATAGCTACTATTTTTAAAAAGGGTAGAAAATCCTGTTTGCATATGATTAATCCATTAAATTAGGATAATATGCCTATCTTATATTATGCAGTTGCAGTTCATCATGAAATATTTACATAATTCTGCATACAATTAAAGGAATTTAAAATGTCCTTCGTACTTATTAACTAAGCTCCTTTTCCACCTGGGAAATTCCAGTAGAGCTTGGGGTACTCTAGTTCAGATATTTAGAAGAAAAAAAACAGAGGCCAGCAAACATGAGTGTTCCCACCGATCAGTTCCGAAGCCTAATCATTACTTTATCTTCTCTTACAGGTGGTTGAAAATCTCCTTAACTATTGCTTCCAAACATTTTTGGATAAGACCATGAGTATTGAATTCCCAGAGATGTTAGCTGAGATCATTACCAATCAGATACCAAAATATTCAAATGGAAATATCAAGAAACTTCTGTTTCATCAAAAGTGACTGCCTTAATAAGAAAGGTTGCCTTAAAGAAAGTTAAATTTATAGCTTTTATTGTACAAACTATCAATCTGTCCTGTAGAAGTTTTGTTGTTTTATTTTTGTTGTCGTTGTTCGTTTTTGTCTGTTTTGTTTTAAATACGCACTACATGTGGTTTATAGAGGGCCAAGACCTGGCAACAGAAGCAGTTGAGTCATCACTTTTCAGTGATGGGGAAGTGGACAGTGAAATTCATGAGCTGGTCTATCCCCAGAAAATAGACACAGTAACGTGGAGATACTCTCCACCGTGGGAGAAGGATGGCACCTAAACCACCAGTGCCCAAAGTCCGTGTAATGAACTTTCTGCTTATCCTTTTCACAGTTGGCTGGATAAAATTTTCTAGACTTTTTTGTTGGTGTATTTCCCCCTGTATAGTTAGGATAGCATTTTTTGATTTATGCATGGAAACCTGAAAAAAGTTTACAAGTGTATATCAGAAAAGGGAAGTTGTGCCTTTTATAGCTATTACTGTCTGGTTTTAACAATTTCCTTTATATTCAGTGAACTACGCTTGCTCATTTTTTTCTTACATAATTTTTGTATTCAAGTTATTGTACAGCTGTTTAAGATGGGCAGCTAGTTCATAGCTTTCCTAAATAAACTCTAAACATTAATCTTCTGTGTGAAAATGGGTTGGTGCTTCTAACCTGATGGCACTTAGCTATCAGAAGACCACAAAAATTGACTCAAATCTCCAGTATTCTTGTCATAAAAAAGCTCATACTTTGTATATATCTGCTTCAGTGGAAAATTATATAGGTTGTGCAAATGAACCGTCCTAACTGGTATAGAGCACCTAGTCCAGTGACCCGCTCCGGTAACCTGTGGATGATGGTTGCAAAAGACTAATTTAAAAATTCATAAGAACTACCAAGAGGCCCTGTTTGTACCTAATGCCCTATTTCTGCAATGGTTAGATGGCAAGAAAGTTGGTCAACTATAATTGTCTTTCGGGACCTTTTGTAGTAGTTTGTATAACTTCTTAAAAGTTGTGATTCCAGATAACAAGCTGTGACACAGCTGAGAGATTTTTAATCAGAGCAAGTAGTTACTCTCACTAAACTTTACCCCCAAACTAAATCTCTAATACGACAAAAGTGGCGAGACACCCATTTTCACATTCCCACCCGTCGCCAATTGGTCAGCCTTTCTTGGTGGTCCAGGAAAGCTCAGCTACTGATTTTTGTGATTTAGAGCTGTGTGTCGGACATCCCTGTTTATAAAACCACACGTCCCTCCATGTGCCATAGAGTTTAACACAAGTCTTGTGACTTTCTTCACTGTTAAGAATTATCATTTTAAGGAAAATAGAAGCTGTAGTAGCCCTTTCTGTGTGCACCTTACCAACTTTCTGTAAACTCGATAGATTTACTAAGCCACAAGAAATCTGATTTCTATTTGAGGTGGCCAAATTATTTGTGTAATAGAAAACTGAAAATCTAATATTAAAAAATATGAAACTTCTAATATATTTTTATATTTAGTTATAGTTTCAGATATATATCATATTGGTATTCACTAATCTGGGAAGGGAAGGGCTACTGCAGCTTTACATGCAATTTATTAAAATGATTGTAAAATAGCTTGTATAGTGTAAAATAAGAATGATTTTTAGATGAGATTGTTTTATCGCGACATGTTATATATTTTTTGTAGGGGTCAAAGAAATGTGGATGGATAACCTATATGATTTATAGTTTGTGCAAGCATTCATACAGGCAGCAACGGTTTCAGAAACCAAACAGATTTTCTCTAGAGGAAGAGCGAGATGAAAACGGGCCCTGTGTGCAGTGAAAGTTGCTGAGGCTCTGACCCAATCAGATCACAGAGGATGTAATCCTTTGCCTCCCATCCTGACCACCTTCTCTTTCCAACAGTGAGTCTGTTGACACAGGTTTAGTTTTCTAAAGTGTGGAAATGGGACAGAAAAAGTCGTCTTGCATATTTATAGGCACCGTCTAACAGCGGGATGATTTTCACACATGGCCTATACAGACAAATGAAAACAGAGGCTTTGGGAGTTTGGCAATAACACACAGAGGTACCAGCAATATGTAAATAGTGCAGAAGCTCATAGGTTGCTGATAATACACTAATTCCTTTCTACCCTATGGTAAGAGTTCATTTGCCCCCCAAATGAGGACATGTTTTATGTTTTCTTTGAATGCTTTTTGAATGTTCTTTGTTATTTTCAGTATTTCGGAGAAATTATTTAATAAAATACATAATCATTTGCTTTTTTGAATGCTCTCTAAAAGGGAATGTAACATTTGGAGATGGTTTGTAACCCAGCTGGACGTGATATTTATATGGTGCCTAAGAAATACTGCTTGAATATTATCAATGACAGTGTTAAGTTTCCAAAAGGGCTTCTAAAAAGTAGATTATTGTGTATTTATAGAATGTTATATGTATACGATTAAAACCAGAAAGCACATCACACAGTCTTATTTTAGTCCCAAAAACGTTGGTATTCAAAAACCAGAGCTCAGTGGAAAAAGATGTGTGCACTTCATTGTCCATAGGAAGTCAGCTAACCTTCATCACACAACCGTAGGAGGCTTTTTGTTAAATGGAAGAAGAAGCTGTGCCCTTTTAGAGTATGTGGAGAAGAAGAAAGTTATCGTAATCATGTTTGAGTGTAATTATGGATTTAAGTGGAAAAGGATACGGTGTTGTCTGAGAGCATCTTTATTTTCTGTGTATGTGGTATCTTGCCACACCCAACTGCTGAAGTTTATAGCAACTTCAGTGACAGTTGGTGCATGCCTAGGTGACTCAACAAATCCTGAAAAGTATTTTTAATCAATGGTGGGGAAAAGTGACCTTTTCAGTGCTTTTCAGTATTCTTGTGGGATACTATACAAGCCAAATTGAGGAGCTAACAACATAATACTTTGGGGGATATATACCCAAGAACCTGAAAGAGTACCTGCCTTCTCTTGAAAAAAAACAAACAAAAAAAAATTGCCATTCCAAATAGAAAACTAATATGATTAGTGAATATGGAATGCTTGATAATTAGCATAAGATGAGCTCTGGGCATGCACTGTAAGGAAAGCCAGTCTCCCTTCCGAATTTGGAGTGGAGAGATAGGCAATTCCAATTTTACTTAAGTCTTACCATTTTAGTTCCCTTTTTAAATATTCTGAAACTACATCACCATCGAATGGACATTATCAGACTTGGATGTTTCAAAACTCTAAGAACCACGGCGGCCTTAGGTGAGATCTGATGGTTGGTCACCCCAACAACTGTAGCTGTAGATGAATGTATTTCTCTATGTGCCTGGTTTCAGTATTGGAAGAGAAGATAAAAACATAAGGAGGATTCTTTAAACCATTTTAAATGGAAGTTTCATCATTTTCCAGACTATTTGCAGTCAACCCGATCCACCAACGATTAGTGACCAGGTTTTCAGGAAAGGATTAGCTTCTCTCTAGAAAATGTCTGAAAGAAGGATTTTATTTTCTAATGAAAGGCTGTATGAAAATACCCTCCTCAAATAACTTGCTTAACTACATATAGAGTCAAGTGTGTCAATATTCTATTTTGTATATTAAACAAATGCTATATAATGGGGACAAATCTATATTATACTGTGTATGGCATTATTAAGAAGCTTTTTCATTATTTTTTATCACAGTAATTTTAAAATGTGTAAAAATTAAAACCAGTGACTCCTGTTTAAAAATAAAAGTTGTAGTTTTTTATTCATGCTGAATAATAATCTATAGTAAAAAAAAAAAAATGTCTTTTTACCTACGCAGTGAAATGTCAGACTTGTGTGGAAATGTTTAACTTTTATTTTTCATTTAAATTTGCTGTTCTGGTATTACCAAACCACACATTTGTACTGAATTGGCAGTAAATGTTAGTTAGCCATTTACAGCAATGCCAAATATGGAGAAACATCATAATAAAAAAACTCTGCTTTTTCATTATGTGACTCCAACATGGTTTTGTAGAACCCGTACAATTATCCTACTTCCCCCGCCCTTGCTTCTTGTACTGCAAACAGAGTTACCTCTTCGGGAACCCTAAGATAATAAAGTGAACATTGAAATGTCAGTGGAGGGCAGCACCTGTGGCTCCAGGAGTAGGGCACCGGCCCCGTATGCTGGAGGTACTGGGTTCAAACTCAGCCCTGGCCAAAAACTGCAAAAAAAAAAAAAAAAAAAAGTCAGAGGGGCAATGTTTGCATGCTAATATGGTATAATTTCAAAATGAGCTTAACCTTGTGGCCAAAGACCCAATCCCATCCATGCCTCAAATGGTTGTGTGCCAATGACTGCGAAGGGTGCGGAGGGAATGAGCAACTTACTCCTGAGGCTGCTTTAAATCTAACAGTCTTTATCAGGAATTAGCTGGTCAAAATTCTTCACTTATTTAAAAATTCCCTTCTTTTTCCAAGAAAAAGGAATAAACATTTAAGAAGTATCAGGACAGTACTGCACAACAGATGATAAAGGCAGTGGGGGAGGGCAGCCATAAGCCAGCTACTCTCTACAATCTGTTCAATATATGCAAAACAGACTGTGTTCAGATAAGATCCATGATTTGGACAACCTAACAAACCAGCTTCCCTATGAATACTTGTTTCTCACAGGGACCCCCATCACTAAGAAAAAAAGCGTTGTACCAAACTTGGCTTCTCTATCATACGTGCAAGTATTTGCTCCGTGCCTAGTGTAATAAATACTGAAGACACCACGTACAATATGAATAAGAAAAATACCATTGGTACCCTCAGTTACTTGAGTATGTGATGGGAAACGTGTGTAAGAAACCTCCTTTCCCAGTGTCTTGAGGTGGAATGCAGAGACACCAGACCAGTCTACATCAGTATGTACACCTATTATTGCTGTACCATTCACCTCAAGTACTAACCTGACATTTTCCTGTAACGCCTTCATGCACAATTTTATACCAGTTACTCTTCAGCCAAAGAGTGAATGAAATGAAAACAAGTGATGAGGAAGATATTTATTCCATTTTCCAGAAAAGGAAAGAGACTCGATTTAAGCAACTGATTCATAGCTGCTAACACACATTTTGTTGAAGTTTGAATGGAAAGCCTCTATGAGGCCATTTATCTATGAGGTGTCAAAGAGCTCGTCTGTGGCCTGTGAGCCTCTCAGGGAGCTAGTTATGTTTTTCTGCTTTACGTTAAACCAGTTATGGTTGTAACCAGCTAGTTACATTTTTCTGCTTTACTGTTTGTAAGGCAGCATGTTTCAATAGGTAATCTCATGTAATCTTAGCAACCCTGTGAAGTCCTGCTGTAAAGGGGTGCCATTATCCTCATTGGATTTATATGAGGAAACTGTGGCTTCAAGCATTGGGTAATTTGTCTGTGGTCACAAAGCGTGGACATGGCTAAACAGGACTTTAAAAAGAAAAACGCTAAGCATCTGACTCCAGAGTCCACGTTCTTAACTACTACTGAGAAATTATTAATATGAAGCTCCTAAGTAGAACAAGTGGACCCGTATTGAGCATTAGGTAGCCTGCCTTTTGGTATGATCTCATGTAATGTAACCCTAATTTAATCTAATCTAAAGCCATATCAGTTTTGATTGAGACATTTAATAGTGATAGAGTGGTCCCCCCTTGTCCGCAGGAAATATGTTCCAAAACCCCCAGTGCATGCCTAAAACTGCACAGTACTGAGCCCTGTTTTTGCCTGTACTTACATACACAGGATAAAATTTAATTTATAAATTAGGCACGGAGATTAACAATAACTAAAAATAGAAAAATTATAACAATTTACTATAAAAGATTATGTGAATATGGTCTCTCTCAAACTTACTGTGTTATACTACAAGTAACTGAAACTGAGGAAAATGAAACCACAGATAAAGGCAGACGACTATAATTCCTTCTGTTAAAAACATGTCCTGTACCCTGGGTAGGCTGATGGGTAGGGTCTGTAATCCGGTGCCTACAGATTACAGCATACCCTTGAGTTTGTCAGATATACAAGGAGTGTATCTCATAATGCTCACAGGAAAATCAGCAGCCTGCTAGGTTGGCCCTAGGGATCCCCAAATTAATTAAGAGGTATGCTGGTCCACCCGGAGCCTATAATCAAGCACAGGAAATGGGCAATATGCATGGCTGCCAAGAGGAGGCCCATGCTGCTGAGCCAACTACCCCGCCAGGTGAATGGAGACAGACGCCCTCTGGCACCTAGGGCATATGGTCTGTCTAACAAGGGTACAAGTGAACTTTTCTAGAACTAGAATATAAATGTTTTGACACAATGACTAAGCAAATGACATGAAGTCTATGTTAACCAGCTTGATGAAAGTATTTCAAATTGTATATGAAAACACTACACTGTACCCCATGTTTGCATTAATGTATACAGCTATCATTTAATAAAAAAAAGAAAGAAAGAAAGAAAAAATCCCAGAACCTGGGGTGCAGATGTTAGAAATGCAACTCAAACCAGCTTAAGCAATGAGAAAAATAAAGGAGAAAAAGACGGAAAGAAGAAAGGGAAGGGAGGAAGGAAGGAAGAAAAGTGGTGCCCCACATAACTGGAGAGGCAGGAGGTGAGTACCCAAACTTCAGCCTTCCACTCTGCCGGCAACAGCAGTGAGGAGGCGGGGCTTTCTCCCTAGAGCCCCCAGAACGTGTGCTCACCTTGCATTGGCCTAAACTGGCTTGGACATACCCACCCCTCGACCAATCAGTGACCAGGGAGAACAGCTTTCTCATCATTGGCTAAAATTCTAATCTAAAGGGTCTGGAAGGAGCTGTCCCGCAATGTTAACATATTAATAGTGTTTATCTCTCACTAGTAGAATCTCTAGAGGTTCTAATCCCTTGCAATTTCCTAATTTTTTCATAATGATTGGGAATTACTGATGTTATTTTAAAACAGTAATAAAACACTCTTATCCACTTAAGTAATACTAATTTTACTAATGCAGTCATTGTACAATGCTTTTAAGCAGCAGATCCTTTTTTCAAATTCTTATATGATATTCATAATGCAAAATCAGGACTATTTGAGTAGCATTTTATTAGTATAGATCAGGTTTAAACTTATATTTACGTTTCATAACTATAGAAACCTTAAATTATAAATTGGGGCTGATGATTTCTGTTCCATATCAACTTCAGGATCCAATTTATCAAAAATAATCCTGATGTACACAGATCAGTGCCTGCAAGTGGTGATAGTTTCTCTTCACTTCTCTTCCTCCAAAATGGCTTAGAAGCTTAAAAGGGGGATAACTGAAAGTGATTTAAAAATTGATTTTAAAGAAAGATTAAAGATTGTCATAAAAATACCAAGAATTGAGCAAATCAGAATGAATGAATGAATATCTTACTGCTTACATCTCTTAGCACAAATATAAAAAGCAAAACCAAAGCATCCCAATTACAAACTGAAACGACAATAATAAAATTACTGCTGTTGCTAAACATTCATTTGTTCTAGTAACTTTACTGAATATCATTGCAAGATAGCCTGTTAAGAGAATATACACTGATTAGTGAGATTTAATCTTGCCTGGAGTTTAATAATCATTTAATTGGCTCGGTGCCTGTAGTTCAGTGGTTACAGCGCCAGCCACATACACCAGAGCTGGTGGGTTCAAATTCAGCCCAGGCTTACTAAACAATGACAAAAACAACAACAAAAATAGCCAGGCATTGTGGCGAGCACCTGTAGTCCCAGCTACTTGGGAGGCTGAGGCAAGAGAATCACTTAAGCCCAAGAATTTGAGGTTCCTGTGAGCTGTGACATGACAGCACTCTACCAAGTATGCTAGGATACTTGCTTATATTAGGGTATTAAAAATGAAATATCTGATTTTTGATCAGAAGATTATCTCAAGCAAGAAGTGGTACAATCAATCAAAGGATGCACCTCAATTGACACTGTCTTGCCATCTTAATAGTAGTTTGTGTATGGCAGCAGCAAAGAAGCCTGGAGAGCGAATGGTGAGGAAATCACAAAAGATGTTTTCCATGGCTTGTTGAGAATTGACTATTTTTCCGTTCAAGAAGTAGGCCAAAGCCTGGAAGAAGTGGTAGTTTATACAAAGTGTGGTGAATAAGGGGGATGAACAGAGTTTGCAAGTCCAGCTTCCATTCTTTGAACAGCATTATCTGCACGGCTTGTGATAGAGCATTGTCTTGCAAGAGGACTGGCCTGTCTCTATTGACCAGTCTTGGCTGCATAATCACAGCATCTTCATCATTTTGTCTGATTGGTTGCAGGAGACACCTACTGTGATTGATCAGGTTTCGTGAAGCTGCAATGGATAAAAACAGCATTGAACCACCAGACACCGTTTGTTTTTTTGAAGACTATTTAGTTTTGGACTGTGTTTTGGCACCTCATCTTTATGGTGTCAAACACTGGCAGTTGTCAAAAAGAATCCGTTTTTCACCATACATAACAATGCTGTGTAGAAACGGTTCACGTTTAGGTCATGACAGGAAAGAGAGACAAGCTTCCAGATGAGTTCTCTTCTGATGCTCATTTAACTCTTGCACAACCCGTCTACCCAGCTTCTTTACCTTGCCGATTTGTTTCCAATGGCCGGACATTGCTGGAATAGTAACGTGAAACCTTGCTGCTAATTCTCCTGTAGGTTTAAGTGGTTCGTTCCCACTACAGCTTGCGGCTCATCATTATCCACCTTGGTCTCAGGTCGCCCACCTGGCTCATTTTCAAGATTAAAATCAACAGAGGGGAACTTCTCAGACCATCCACATACTGCATGTTCCTTCCCAAACTTTTCATTGATATTTCAAGCTGTCAGTGCTGCATTGGTTCCACACCGGAACTCATAATCAAAAATAACACACACTTCTCACTTATCTAGGGTTTCACAAAAGTTGCTCTAAAAAAATTTGAAGGATAAGCACAAGTCACAACATGCAGTTGATAGACTGAGGATGTATGTACAGTC